TTTTTTTGGGGCACTATTCTTTTTGCCTTAGTTAGTGCCCATAGAATATTAACAACATATCGTTGAATAAATTAAAATATATTGTCTTATATTTAATAGTTTAATATATGAAAAATGTGTATTTCACTCTTTATAATACATTCTTTATAAGATAATTGTCATTTTAGGATTCATGTTTAGAATTGAATAACATGAAAGCTGTGACAAATTCAAACATTATCAATAAATAATTTCACAATAAAAATACGAATTCAAACTTCACTTATACATACAGTATTACAATACATTATTTTTGTTCTTAAATAATTTATGGTAAAGTTGAAACATTGTGGCTGATGTGTCGGTGCCTCATATCTAGGTTTAACGACTAGTTATGAGTTCCGATCTACCTGAACCGCTAAAGATGACCTGCAAAAAGGGCCGAGTAGGTCTCCCGGAGTTATCACTCCGACATTGAAGTTAATACAAGGAAATATAGAGATAATAACTAGCCGGTTCAACTTGAACTCAAGGCACCACACATCATTTGGCGCGTCTGTTGGGAGTTTTTGAAGGAACTAAGAGCTCTCTCACCAGACTCCGATCACCTGAGACGGCTGACAGAGAGGTAGTACAGAGGAACTTGACTAGGAGTTTATAGAGGCTTCGACTGACAGGTGCCCTTCTTTGGCACACATTGCAAATCTGTTGGAGTAAACTGTAGAAGCTCGACTTTGTGATTTACTCTCAATTTCATTTTGAATGAGATATGTGTTTTTAGTCAAGTGTATGTTCATAGTTTATTTATTTATGCGAATATAGTTCCTTTATTTTACATCAAGAAGGTTTGATGTGTCGACAAAAAGATCATATTATTGGTGCCATGTATAATATAAATATTTGTTCACAGCCTAGACGAAATTGAGCTAACTGTCATAAACGGTTGTAGTGTGATTTTGAATTAGTTGGTCTTTAGCTATACAATAGTACATCTCGGATGTATTGGACGAACCTATGGAGGATAAGATTATTTTATACTGACCAAGTAAATAATCTAGGCCTCAGTAATTGATGCATTCTCTTAATCCGTAAGACAACAAAAATGGGCATACGTATTCGATACTTATTTATTTGATGAGTAATGCTATAAGTACATAATATTGTACATAGGGGTACACATTATACTCACATTGAGTGGGACCCACCAAAAATGAAAAATCAAGTGGACCCTACTCTATGTGAGTGTTATGTACACCTCTATGTAGATTTATTATGTACTCGTAGTACTTTTCTTATTTGATTTACCATGGGTGAGACTAATTCTGGTAGGTCAATAGACTCAGTACTTTGGTAAATAACGATGTGTCGTAGAAATTATTTACAGATATTATGTCCCGGTGCGCCGGGTTGATGATGTCTCCAAAATGAGCTCAAGAAGGATAATTATGTCAAGCCTGACCAGCGAATCAATTTTTGACATAATAATAAAGAATAAGTGCTACTAATTTCAGAGGACCAAGAAGTTGATTAATTATATTGTTAGTAATTAAATAAACTAACAGATGTTAGATCTTAAATATGAGGAGGTAAATCGAGCAATTAGTTAAGAATGGATTATTTGTAATTCAGAGTTAATGGGGAGTCCAATAATATTTTTACATTGCTATTTAATATTATTCTAGTACGAGCAGAGTGGGCTTGACCCACCGTTAGTCCCATACTTGGGAACCCATTTTAAGCACCTCCTCAGGGTCCTTGTTGTAGCATATACATACACCAAGTCCTCTAGCCTCCATCTCAATGTCCCACACGGCCAAACGAGATATTGTGAGCATATGTTTTCTCTTCTAAGAGAAATCGATCAAAACAGAGAGGTCTAAAGGAAAGAAAAATGGTGAGGCTTTGGGAGATCCAACGAGCCGTCCACCACAACGAATCGGAGCTGGTGATTGCTCATGCAGCAGAAGATCTCGAGGTCTTGTTTTTGTATCCGGATGAATAAGTATATGCATCCCGTCAAATATATATGTCCCCGCAGCACCTCGGACGACCAAGAAACATGGAGAGCACGACCACCAGAGAAAGACACATCCACCAACGTGCCTAGGACCATCAGCTGTAGTCGTACGCACCAGTGTCGGATCCCCATATGCCACCGTAGGCGACCCGTGCACACCCACACACAGACTGCGTACGCAGGCAGTAGACACACAGCACCCCGCACAGGCAGACAGCGCAACCTGTATCTCCCCTACGCCCACAGCGTGACTCGCGGCTCCCCCATGGCGCGGCTCGCGTCCCGCCCGCATGTTGAATTTGTAAAATAATTTCGTGTTTCTCAAGTTTATTCAAACACGCCTTTCAATTTGTTGTCCTTTTTTCTCAAAGATAATTTACATGTTCGAAATTGTTTAGAAATAAGAAATTGGACAATGTCCTAAAGGCATAGAAAGTCGAACTAGCCTATCCTTAAGACAAGAAAGGATAATCTTATTCACTCGGAAATCAAAATCTTTTTGAGAAATAAAATCGACTGAGTGATAGGTAGATTACCATCTAGAATGGGCAATGCAACAAAAGTGGCAGCTATTGCAATGAGAGTTTTCTATAAATAGATTTTTAGTTTTGGGGAATTAACCTTATGTGCATTGTCTTTGAAAAAATTCAGTTTCAGTTTCTAAACTGTGTATGGATATTATGTTTTGTTTAACGACAGTTTTGTTGTCGAGAAAATGAAAAATTTTGTTCATATGGTACGTGGGTGGATAATTTGTTAACTCAAGTAACCAAAAGGTCTCACAGTGCAATAAATGAAATAAGTGACACATTGACTAAACCTAGTAAGAGGAAAGCTCCTTCAATAAATGAATCACACATTATTTTGGCAACTAGTATTTGGAAATTTTAGCATTAGTAGAATTCAGAGGTAGATAGTCATCGAAATCATTAGTTCTTCAGGAGTGGATCAACTGTTAGACCTACAAATTATACTTGGTATCTAAAAATGACCAAAATGGATTTATGAAAGTCGAGGGGTTTAGAAGCCAAATGAATGTTAGGATTGATTAAGCCAATTTGTGTAGTTCTATGATTTTTAAGACAAAAGGTAGTTTTGAATATCTTTCTTCGAGGAACTTATTTGAGACAGGGTACATTATGTGACATTACATAAGCTTGAGTACTCCAAAGGAATAGAGGGACAGTTGTGCAAAGACGTCGAGGTTAATGTATTAGTGGCACTGCGATAGTAATTCTAGTGACTAATAACTTTTGAAAAAATCAAGGAAATACTAATTGGAAGTTGGGATTCAGTCTCAACAGGATGCATCGTTCACCCCAATAGGTTGATGTAGCAGAATGAAGAAAAATGTCTATGAGGTAAATTGGTTATGTCAATGATGAGTTATTATGAACTTTTAATTTTTCGTTTTTGAAGTTCTGCAAACAATGACATAAGTGTTGGGTTCGCTATACTATAAGGAGTCAAACGCAGCGGAAATAAAACGAAATAAATAATCATTTTTCTAATAAATACTAAACCCTCAGTTAACATAGCAATAGTTACGATCGACATTCTTTTTTTTTTTTCGGAACGATAGAGAT